TTGCTACATTTTTCTAACTTTAGTAATCTTAGTAACCTTAATGAAACTTTGACGTTGTGTATTTGTGTAATAAACAGTAAAAATGACTCATCAATTGAGACATAAAAGATAATTTATTAAAAAGAAAACTCATTGGAAAAGATTGTATATGGTTACTGCATTTTCAAAGATGAAACCTCAAGATATTTATGCGTTGTGCAGTATGTCACATATTTTGTTTAAGTACATTTTTTAAACTAAATGGTTAATAATTTTGAAACTTTTTTATATATTCCTAACATTTATATATTCCTATTTTATAACGTACTCGTTTTTTATATTAATTCTAAAAATGGTATGGATGCTATAATTAATAATCTGACTTTAACTTGAATTGTGTATATGCATCATATGTTAAAACTACAAATTTTAATTGCAATTATCTAAACGATCAATATGTTTCTAATCACCCTAACATAAAGAACATTTCAACTGACTTGTATTTAAAATTTTAGCACATTCATAAGAAAATCATTTTATGCAAGTATTAAATTTGTCAGAAAAAATGGAAAAAATATTTCTTAATTTAACAAAAATTATTAACTAATTAAATAATATTAGTAAAAGGAAATTCTCAATATAATCCAATATCATTTCTATCATTTTCACAATCCTTAAAAAATTATTCTTTTTAGATTGTAATGATTTTTACGATTTTTACGATATTTTTTATAAAGTTAAGTGAATTACTTTTGATTATATAGGAATATTTATTAAACAACTAATATAGGAGATAAGGGCAAGAGCCAATAATTCCGTTAAAACCTTTTTTTTTTAAATTAATCTAATATATATTGCGAAGAATATCACATAATTATGGCGTTTCGTCCCAACTTCCACTACTGGACTCATCAGTAAGGCATTGTAGTGAAAAAAAAAGGTTTTAACGGAATTATTGGCTCTTGCCCTTATCTCCTATATTAGTTGTTTAATACATATTGAGCCTTATCTTAATCATTTATTTAACAGTCATTCATGGTAATAATCTGAAAAATCATGTTTTGTAAGTTGTGCTATTTTTAAAAGTTAGAGAACAATATGTGTGTGTGTATGTTATATGTACAAGTATGTTATGTACATATATTGTATACACATATGTATACATTTACACACGCAACTATCAAAACATGAAAGTATATGAAAGTAGCACAAAGACCGGAAAATCACCATTGGCAATGTTATCTGCGTGCTATCAGCTGTTTGCGCTAATCGATACGCAATTACATCGGTTGGATATATTTCGATCCTGCAACGTATTTTGACTAAAAACTTATAGCTGTTGCGAGTACATTGGACGGTGCGTTATATGTTATTGCATCACACGAACAAAAATATAACAAGAAAAATATTATTGTGATTGAAACTCGTATTACGCGATATATAGCAAAGCCTATAGAACGTATTCGTGAGAATACTTAATATAAGAGTTACACAATAGAAAAATGCTCTCGATATGAACGTTGCTCCATGTAATGTTCTATTCTCATCCTCATCCTCTTCCTACTTCACCTCTTCCTCGCCCACTTGAGCGTGAAAACATGCACGCCTCTTGCTCGGAGCATTTTCCCACGGCGGAGAATTCGCGATACAAATATTTGACGGAATTCCGTTTTCAACGCGACAAATGATGTACTTCCCTTGTAAAATAAAAAAGATCCATTGCTTTTGCTCACGTAAGGAAAGAAAGCGAGGAAAAATTGACACATATCTGAAAAGAAAGACCTATGCGATTTTTTGCCGTAACATCGACTCCACGAGTCTTATCCTGAAAAAATAGTAGCAAAACCTTAGAATAAAAGTCAGAATTGTAAAAAGCACTAGTTTTCCATATATTTAAATGAAATAAATTACAAGTTTTCTACGTAAAAATGTATAAAAGAGAAAAAAGCACATTACTCTTTTCTTTTTTTAAATGTAATACTACCATAGATGAAAATTTAGAACATTTATTTCTCTTTTCAAGATAGAAACGTGTGAGTCATGAGGCGCGCTTGTATTATTATTTCTGAATCAACCAGCATTTTGATACATTCAAAGTAGATTCTTTCGATATATTTTTCGTATAGATGCAAAAGTATTTTGCAACGCGTTTTCCAGTGTGTTAAGGCGCGTTGAGACGTGAAAGTGACAGTCGCGTGAACACGCGGAACGTTGCGTTTATATCCGTTAATCGAGTAGAAACGCGTTTCATACGAAGTAGTAATAAGACCCTTAAATACGTGTCATATTATAAATAAGTGTCATATTATAAATAAGTGTTTACAAGCCTGTAAATATGTATATAATTTTCATCGTTATTAAAATTATTCACTATTATAACATCGTCGAGTTGTTTTATTGTTGGCTTTTCATGTGCTACAAATTCCCGCCTTAATTATATATGTAAAGGTGCTTTTTCATGCGCAGCACGCTGCAGCAGCAATTCGTTACTATTGGTTAAGAATTTTATGTAAGCTAGATGACCCACTTCCGGCGCAAATACATTTTGCCGCAGTTCGTTGAAGTTGAACCGAACGAACAGCAAGCAGCAAGCGGCAAAATCGAGAAAGCGTACAATATGTCCGTCGTTTCATTATGAAAATATTATTTATTGCAATAAATATTAGGAAAATAAACGAAAAATGGCTTCGGATAAGGTACGGATACATGTTTGTAAATTAGATCATTTTATACTTTACCACAAATTTGAAAAAGTAAAGTGTAAAGTATAAAATGATCTAATTTACAAACATTCGTACCTTATCCGAAGCCATTCTTCGTTTATTTTCCTAATATTTATTGCAATAAATAATATTGCCTCGATTTTGCCGCTTGCTGCTTGCTGTTCGTTCGGTTCAACTTCAACGAACTGCGGCAAAATGTATTTTGCGCCGGAAGTGCGTCATCTAGCTTACATAAAATTTATTTAATTTTTTACATAAAATTCTTAACCAATAGTAACGAATTGCTGCTGCAGCGTGCTGCGCATGAAAAAGTACCTTAAGGATAAATATCTCGGTACGTATGTAAGCCGAGTAAGAATGTATAGCAGGATCGGGAAAGTTCGGAAGGAAAATATGTATATCCGACGACGGCGAGACCGTGAAATGACTCGCAAATTTGAACAGTCCATTCCGAACCGTCGCCGCATATTGACAAAATAAAGATTGCTCTTGAAAGATACTTAAGTAACGAGTGCTTTATTCTCCTCGGCTCTTGTAAAATAGCTAACATATAAAAATATTGATTTTCTTTCTTATAATAATCATAAAAACATTTCTCTATTATAATTATTATAAAAGATATTGTTCGCGCCAAAATGTCGCGAGAGTTTAGTTAGGTTGTGAGCGCGCAAAATGTTATGGCGCCAACCGTGGATTTTGATAGGGCGCTGCGATCACGTGACGCGAACAGTATTCGAGGCAGTTAGTTGTTAGTTCGTCACGACGCCTGTAAACGAGCAGGCACGTTTTTCTGTAGAGAGATGAGAAAATAAAGCGAGGAAAAGATACGTGTGTGAACGCATTTCTTTCAACCCGCAACATTGGTCCTTCGAGCCGGATCCTTCGCAGTACAGCGAATTCCGGAGAGACACGGGTAGCAATCGTCGGCCGTGGAACAGGCACCGAGATCACCCGGCATACAAACAGGCAGCAATCTTCGGCTGTGGACAAAGCACCGAGATCGCCCATTACACAGGTGTGACTTCTGGAAGGAGGTTAAGAAGCAAAAAAATCCATCGAGTCAACGAGTTTCGTCGAGGATTCCAAGCGTCGATTTCCAAGCTAAGTAGCATAACCTAACGATTCAATCGCGAATCTCGATTCCGTCGATACTTCTTCTTCTTCTTATTTAGTTAATGGCACCCGCCTCCAAATAATAGATAGGTCGACACGGCCAGATCACGTCACAAATGAAAATCGTATCAAAATGTCGGGCGAACGGATGATGCAATGCCCGCGAGAATGGCGTTGCTCGACCGGTATCTGGGCGCCTGCGTCTACGACGTCGTCACGTCGCAATAACGCGCGTCATGAGAGCCCGAGTCGTCGAAGGGTGCAAGATGACGAACAATCGAGACGAGCACAACCATCGGACACGCATCGAGTAAATCTAACTTATGGCACCACGCCTCCCAATAATGGGAAGGCGATACTGCCAGATCACGTCTTTAATAAAATCGTACGAAAAATATGAAAACGAACAAATAGGACAAAACAATGCACGGTCAAAGTCGGCAACACTTTCAAAAATATACGGTAGAAAGCACCCGACCGAAACGCGTCCGCCTCGGCCGAGTGGTTCATCAGAACTGATTCCGTCGATACGAGTACAATGCCGGAAACAGGAAAGCTCGTGAAAACACGCGGTAGAATCAAGGCGCAAATGACGCGTGCGCGTAATTGGATTAGAGTTTTCGATGAACAAAGCCATTCAATAGAGGAGGTAGAGGTTAGGTTAGCAGCAATACAACGTGCATGGAACGAATTTTGTGAAACGCAAGACGCTCTCGAGGAATTAGACGCAGAATTCGAAAACGATGGCGAGCGCGAGGCATTCGAGTCAGAATATTATGCAACTTCGGCAGCGGCAAAGGCGCTTATCGCACAGCATGAGAGAACGCGAATGAACGCGCGAGAAATACGCAACGCTGACAATCATGGCTTCGGCAACGCGACTAACGCAGTAGATAAGATAAAACTTCCGCCAATCAACTTGCCTACATTTGACGGATCATACGATCAGTGGCCGAATTTTCGAGATACCTTTAGGGCAGTTATCGATGAAAATAGTAACTTAACAGACATCAAAAAATTGTACTATTTAAAGTTAGCACTTAAAGGTGTAGCGGCAGAAATACTAGAATCCATGGAATTGTCCGCCGACAACTAGATGTCGCGTGGAACATTCTCGAAAGTCGTTTCGAGAATAAGCGCGTTTTGGTCCACCATCACTTGCAAGCACTTGTAGAGTTCCCAGTAATGCAAAAGGAATCATCTACAGGATTGCGTCAATTATTAGATCATACCGAAAAGCACGTTCGCGCTCTAAAAAAGCTTGGTGAGCCCACAGATCAATGGGGCACCATCCTTGTTTATTTAACAACCGCTAAGTTTGACAATACGACAAAACGTGAGTGGGAAACCAAAACGTCGGCAAGGGAAGTTGCTACATATACGCAATTCATTGAATTTACTAATCGATTCATTGATTTTTTACTAATCGATGCGTTATGCTAGAGACATTAAAACTCGATAAATCAAAAGGCGCGAAATTATCAAGTAGCGATACGAGTCATAAGTCAAGTAACGCGAATAAAAAGGCAATTGCCGCGGTAACAGCCGAGGCCAAGTCAGATAAATGTTTAGCATGCAATCAAGGAAACCATCGGTTATATCATTGTCCGAGTTTTCTTAACTTAGCTCCTCCGGCGAGGAGTAAGGAGGTAAAACGCTTGAAATTGTGTTTTAATTGTTTTAAGGGCGACCACAGTGTTGAATCGTGCAACGCCAGCACATGCCGAGTATGTCATAAGAAACACAACACGCTACTGCATATTCCGAAGGACGAAGGTACAGAGCACGGAAGTGGGAGTCAAAACTCCACCGTCAAATCCCAGGCATTCACGGAATCACAAGCCACTAGTGTGGTACATCACGCCGTTCGACTCAACGAACGCGGATTATTAGCAACGGCTATCATCAAGATTCAGGACAAACGAGGAGACTTTCAAGAAGCTCGTGCGTTCCTCGATCCTGGATCACAGTCAAACTTCATGACGAAAGATCTTTGCGAGCGTTTAGGCCTTCCACAGAGAAGGAATCACATGCATATTCGTGGTATTGACAACGTACAGACAACAGCACTTACAGAAACTCACGCCACGATACAATCTAAATTTAACGCTTTCAAGGTGGGGCTTCATTTCTCGATATTACCCGAAATTACGGTCAATCTTCCATTATCAGAGATCAACAAGAATCATTTACAAATACCTGAGACGATCACTTTAGTTGATCCGTCATTTCACATCCCTGGGCAGCGATCATGTAACTTTTCCCCTAGAGCGGAAAGGCGAAAAGTGAAAGATTTCACGTGAACTTATGATCATAGAACTCGGCGAAACGTTGAAACGTGAAACTTTTCACGTGAATTTTTCCGCCATCAAATGTGATAGCGGGAAGGTGAAAGTTTAGTGACTCGAAGTAACTAGAACATTGAGATGCAAGAAACGTTTCTAGTTTCTAAAGTTATCATCCAAGGAGAACAAAACAATCAAAATAATATCAATATGACGTCAAATTGACATTATTTTGATTGTCTTTAAAACAATTCTTTAAAACAATCTTTTTTTTTTATTAATGATATTTCTAAGATTATATAGATTTTTATAAGTATAAATGGTAAACATTTACATTTCACTATTATCACGTTATTCATCATAATATATACATTTCCTTTTGTTTACTTGTAACATTCATTGTTATTGCTTTATTTGTTTATTTGTTTTATTTACTATCTATCAGTGATTTACAAGGTAAATAAGGTTATCTCTCATTTTTGGTAATTTCACTTTCCGCTCATTAGTTATATAATCGCACTATATTCGTGGAAAAGTTCGCGTGAAATCACTAAGTGAAAAGTGAAAAGTGAAAAGTTCCACTGGAAATTACATGATCGCTGCCCAGAAGGATAGATGTACTACTAGGAGGCTCTATATTCTGGGAACTATTGTGTGTCGGTCAGATCAAATTAGGGAAGAATCAGCCGATCGCACAGAAAACAAAGCTCGGTTGGATCATTGCCGGACCTATAAGTTTCAAAGGATACAATGAGAGTTCAATTGTGTCCGTAAGTTCCATTTCCGCTGTCATCACCATTAAAACACAACTCGAACGCTTCTGGCAAATAGAAGAATGCAACGTTCAATTAGAGGCATCAGAGAACTTTGCGAATCGGAATTTGATCAAACACATAGACGCAACGCAGCTGGTCGTTTCGAAGTTCGATTATCACTATGCGAGCGTAGATCGACTCGGACATTCTCGTGATATCGCTATCAAGCGACTACGACACATGGAACGGAAATTTACGAAATCTCCAGAGATAAAGCAACAATATAAAATATTCATGCAAGAATATGAAGAGTTAAATCACATGACCGAAATTTCAAATCAAGAGGACTCTCAGACAAGCCTCTACCTACCACATCATGCAGTTGTGAAACCCGATAGTGTCACCACAAAGCTCAGAGTGGTATTCGACGCATCCTGTCCCACATCTTCAGGAGTGTCACTCAATAACATACTGCACACCGGGCCTACCATTCAGCAGGATCTACTTTCCATAATATTGAGATTTCGTCAACATCGATTTGTTATTACAGCAGACATTAAACAAATGTACAGACAAATACTTGTGCAAGATGATCAACGAGACTTACAAAGAATCGTGTGGAGGCCTGATACAAGCGAACCAATTCGTGATTATCGTCTCAACACCATCACATATGGTATGGCCAGTTCACCATTCTTGGCAATCTGATGTCTATATCAGCTCGCACTCGAGAATCAGGACAAATATCCGGAAGCAAGCAAGGTCATACGCAATGACTTCTATGTTGACGATCTATTGTCTGGTAGTAACGATATAAGCACGCTATAACGGCTTAAAACTGAATTAATCGAAATTTTGCAATCTTCAGGATTTTCATTTAGTTAGGTTGTGAGCGCGCAAAATGTTATGGCGCCAACCGTGGATTTTGATAGGGCGCTGCAATCACGTGACGCGAACAGTATTCGAGGCAGTTAGTTGTTAGTTCGTCACGACGCCTGTACACGAGCAGGCACGTTTTTCTGTAGAGAGATGAGAAAATAAAGCGAGGAAAAGATACGTGTGTGAACGCATTTCTTTCAACCCGCAACAGATATTCTGTTTTTTCTCTAATTAAGTGCAGTTTCTTGTATAAGATAATTCAGGGAAAAAAGATGGCACAAAAGGGAAGATGCCACTTTATTTATATTTTTGTCATAGAATATTAGCTATTGTGACTGCGTAGAAGTATGTAGTAGACTAAGTAGACAATGTGCAAAAAGCGCAATTATCAAAAAGTTCGTGTCAATTCGGTTTTAACATTTTTTTAAATAATAATTTTTTTATTTAATACATATGCTATTCTAAAAATAATCAGTTTTTTATTATTATATTAGGTATGGAAATAAGTTTCCGCCCATTGTAGAGAGACGTCGTTAGTAGCATTGCTTGTGTGTTTGATAGAACGGCAATTGTTTTTGAAAGGTGTGTGTTCAAACTTTTGAGCACAATAGTTGGCATTCGTTCGAAGCATAAAAAAGAGTAACTTTTTTTGCGTTGAAGATGTCGGAATTTATTCCAAAAAAGCAACATTTGCGGGAAGTTTTATTCCATTATTTTATTTTAAAGAAAAGTGCTGCGGAAACGCATCGTTTTTGCTCGTAGATATTTACGGTAAGCATGCTCCATCGAATAATGCTTGTAAAGAATGGTTTCGGCGATTCAACAATGGTGATTTTGACGTGTTGTGCATCTGGTGGGATCAAAGGGATGTTATATATTATGAGCTGCTCAAACCGTCCGAAATCATCACTGGCGATTGTTATCGACTATAACTGATACGTTTAAATCAAGCTTTGAAAAAAAAACGACCGGTGTTCACTCTTTGAGAGATGAAAATAACCAAAATGTTTGAATTTCTTCTAAAATGTCCTTTATTCGTTCTTACAAAATTTCCCGAGGATCGTTTACATAAACTTCTTCTTCCGAACCTCCATCTTACACTCCTCTCACGCCAGTCCCCCTAATCCTCGCGAGGACGACTTACCGATCGGACGCAATTTTCCGTCGATAAGTAACGCGCAGTTACCTACTACTCGCATTAACATGTCGCCCGCCTTGAAAGGCTAGACTTTCAAAAACAAAAACCAAAATAAAAGAAACGAAAAAACAGTGTGGATTGCTTACTCTATTCTATCGGTAAGATACATAATCGCGTGACCGGACGTGATAACACTCCCTTTGCAGTCTTGACATTAACGATTCGGATATGCTTATCGTGACCTGGATGGCATTCCACAATTCTCCCTAACGGCCACTGCATAGATGGAAGATGATCTTCTTGCAAGATTACCATCATGCCATTTTTAATAGTAGACACTTGATCTTCACGATTCCACTTGATTCTTTTTTGAAGGGTTGACAGGTACTCTCTGGACCACCGTGACCAAAAGGATTGTACGAGTTTTGTAAGATACTGAAAACGATTAAGTCTGTTATTGGGCATTTCCGTTAGAGAACATTGTGGAATGGCATTGAGAGGGGCTCCAATTAAAAAATGTCCAGGAGTTAGCACTTGCAGATCTGTTGGATCTGTCGATAATGGCGTCAATGGTCGTGAATTAAGCACGGCTTCAATTTGAGTCAATATTGTGTACATTTCCTCGAACGAAAGGAGTGCTTCACCAAGTATTTTTCTTAGATGCGTCTTTACGGATTTGATACCTGCCTCCCAAATGCCACCCATATGGGGAGAATATGGAGGTATAAAATGCCATTGAATGGCTTGTTTCATGCAATAATTATGGATTGTCTCTTGATGGGAGGCCGTTCTTATTAATTTGAAAAATTCTTGTAACTCTCTACTTGCTCCCTTAAAATTACTACCATTGTCTGAATGTATGTGAGTGCATAAACCGCGACGGGCTATAAAACGTTTTAGTGCATTCAAGAAAGCTGCTGTACTCAGGTCAGAGACCAACTCTATGTGGATAGCCTTGGTGGCCATACAAACGAATACACATATATAAGCCTTGCCAGTTTTGTTTCGACTAAGTTTTATGTTAAATGGACCGCCGTAGTCTATGCCCACATTGACGAACGCACGGGTGCCCATGACACGGGACACCGGCAAATCGCCCATAATCTGACGCACGTGACGCGGTCGCGCGCGGAAACAAACAGTACACTTATGCAATACTTGTCTAATCGCGGATTTTGCGGATATTATCCAGAAAGACTCTTGTAAGGTGGCGAGCAACGCCTGTGGTCCTAGATGCAAATTCCTGAGATGTTCGTCACGAATGATTATTCGAGTGACATGGTTATGTGCTGGCAACACAATCGGATGTCGTTGTTCATACTCTAACTGCGCATTAGCTAGCCGTCCTCCTACTCTGATGATCCCGTCCTGATCGAGAAAAGGATGTAAAGTGAGCAATGCACTATTATGCTTGACGCATTGTCTGTTTTTCAAATCGGCTATTTCTTGTGAGAAGCTATGAGTTTGGATGTCTCGAATGATGATCATCTGGGCTCGTTCTAACTCGTTGACAGTTAAAGGACGGAGACGATTTTGAGTTGTTGTCTGACGGGGTGATCTCCAACGAAGGCAGTATCCCACGATTCTTTTAAGACGATTAAATGACGAACATCGTTCCCAGATCTCATTTGTATTTGAAATGTGTAGACACGTAATGACGCTTGATTTTGTTTCAGGGAGTTCACCCGCTGGTAGTGATATGTCCTTGGTGATTTGCGCTTCTGGATTGAGCAGCCACTCAGGGCCTTGCCACCAAAGCTTAGACACTTTTAATTGCGCCGGAGTTCTTCCCCGCGTGATTAGATCAGCAGGATTGTCCTCCGACCTCACATGATGCCATTGATTTCTTTCAGTCAGCTGTTGAATCTCATTGACTCTGTTTGCGACAAAGGTCTTTCGTAAATAGGGCTCTTGACTGATCCATGCTAATACAATTGTTGAATCACACCAAAAAGCCTGCGAGTCTATCGGAATAGAGAATGCATCCTTAACTTGCTGCACTAATTTTGCCAATAACAAGGCACCGCACAACTCCAATCGTGGTATGGAGATTGTTTTCAAAGGTGCAACTCGTGATCTCGCACAAAGAAGTCGCACGATCCGATTCCCGTGCTTATCGCTTGATAATAGGTAGATGCATGCGCCATAAGCATTCTCAGACGCATCTGAAAATCCATGCAATTTAATTCTTACTGGATTTTGACAGATTACAACACGTGGGATGCGAATATCAGTTATCGCAGATAGCGCCTCCAAGTAGGCATTCCATTCTATATACATTTCACTTGGTAACGGTTCATCCCATCCGAGTTTCAACTGCCACATTCGTTGAAGTAATATTTTCACCGTGATGATCACTGGTCCCACTAACCCAAGCGGGTCGAATAGTTGTGAAGATGTTGACAACACTTTACGCTTCGTGGTTTGTTGCTCCACTCTTGGAAAGGTGGCCGCATACTGAAATGTGTCGCAGTGAGAATTCCACGTAAGACCGAGGGTTTTTACCTCGTCGCCAATGCTTGTGACCTGCACTGCTTCTTCTTTGGTGGGTGGGATGAGCGATGGTTCATTGGAATTCCATTTTGCTAATTGGAAACCCGCCGATTCTAGAATCTGAATGACATCTCGCTGTAAGACCTGTAGCTCACTTATACTACCGCCTCCAGTCAGCAAATCGTCGACGTAAAAATCTTGTAGTATGACTCGGCTTGCCGCTGCATAAGCCTGTTGATTATCTATTGCTGCCTGATGTAAAGCCCGGATGGCCATAAATGGTGCTGACGCTAATCCGTACGTCACAGTATTCAACGTGTATTCTTGTATAGGTTGACTGCTATCCGCTCTCCACAGTATCCGCTGTAAATCGCGCTGCTCTTCACTCACATTGACCTGGCGATACATTTTGACGATGTCCGCTGTGAAGACAAACTGGTGTTGTCGAAATCGTAACACTGTTGTGAATAAAGTTGATTGAATAGTAGGTCCGACTCTCAATATGTCGTTGAGGGCTACACCAGAGTCAGTCTTGGCTGAGCCGTCAAAGACGACGCGCAACTTCAGGTGATTTTGACTCTTGGTCACCACGGCGTGGTGCGGAAGGTAATGCGTTTGTTTATTTGTGGCTTCGCTTTCAGATACTAGGCTCATGTGCCCCAGCTCCATATAACTGCTCATGAATTTGACATACTGCTCTTTTATTTCAGGTTGTCGCGATAATTTCTTCTCTAACTTGTAGAATCTTGTTAATGCATGATGGCGAGATTCACCCAATTGGCTGGGATCCACCAGAAATGGCATGCTGACCGTGAATCTTCCGTCTACATCTCGTTTGTATGTTCTCAAGAAATGCTCCTCGCATATTTCGTCACTCACTGATCGTGGTGGTTGCTGCGCGATTTCTTCAATGTTCCAGAATCTTTCCAATTGTTCGTGAAGTGATGCATTGGTAATTGTATGACTAAGTGCGGTCTGTTCGTTATCATACGTCGTGCCTCCTGCTACAATCCAGCCCAGGCATGTTTTTTGAAGAATAGGTTGATTTTTACCCAGGCTTACCTTGCCGACGCAAAGCAACTCCCAAAATATGCTGGCACCCACCAATGCTTCAACTTTGTCAGGAATGTGAAACGTATCATCAGCTAGTGTCAACCTTGATGGAATCTTGAGGTGATCTCGATTGACTGGTGTCAATGGCAATTTATCGATTACTTGCTCGGCCACTAAAAACCTTGACTTAGTTTTGTACGCTGTGCACTTTGACTGCATGACTGCTTCCGCTGATTCTTGAAGTTCGACTGAGGAACCAAGACCCCTAACCAAGCAATTCTGTTTCTGTGTTATTAACTTCAAACGTTGACAAAGATTTCGCGATATAAAATTAAATTGTGACCCGGAATCAAGCAACACTCTGCATTCAACGAACGTTCCCTCATTCCCGTGCATTCGCACCCGTGCGGTTGACAAAAGAATTCGCGATGGCGCCCGGTAATAATCTTTATTTACGACGGTGAGAGCAACGCTTTGATCAGATTCTGAATTATTCTTAGCTTCGACCTGATTTGATATTACTATTTGATCTTCAGGATGCAATAACGTGTTATGTTTGCTATCGCACTTTTTACAATGCGTCGAAATGCAATTCGCTGCTATATGGTTACTTCGCAAACAATTCCGACATAACCTACGTTCCTTTACTATCGCTTGTCGCTTTGAAACATCTAATGCCTGAAACTTAGCGCACGAATAGATTACATGTGATTCTTCTTGACAATATGCACATTTACGCAGAATAGATTTTTCGCTACTGGCTGCCGCAAATGAATTCGAATGTTCGCCTGATTTAGCTTGTCCTGACTGCTTTCGGTCAGCTCGCTTTGATTGTGACTTCTGTACATCTGCTTTTACATTTTCTGGTTCGAGAATTAAACATCGCTCTTCGATAAAATCGGTTAAAGTACTCACGCTAATGTCTTCTTGATCTTTGATATGCGCTCTCCATTCACGTCTAGTAATATTGTCCAACTTAGACGTTAAAATGTGAATCATTATTGCATTCCAGTTACTTGCCCCGAGTTGCTCGAGAGCTCGAAGATGTCTGAACATGCCATCCAACGTCTGTCTCAATTGTACGCCAGATTCCTTTTGCATGACGGGAATGTCGAGCAATAATTGCAAATGACGACTAGTAATCGCGGTTTTATCCTCGTATCGACGTTTCAACAATGACCACGCGATCGCGTAATTGGCAGCAGATGACTCTAATGAATGAATGACTTCAGCGGCACGTCCCTTCAATGCTGACCGCAAATAATACATGCGCTGAATATCCGAAAGATCTGTATTGGAATCGATAAGCCCTTGGAATGCATCACGAAATTGCAACCATTGCTCAGAATTCCCATCGAAAGATGGAAGGCTCATGACTGGCAACTTAACCTTCCTTTCATGTGTATGTCCATTGTTTCCAGTGTTGTTTTCACTGCTACCTGCTACCTGTAACTGTTGGCCGTGTGCCTGATTAATTTGCAATCGTCGACTATTGACAAGAGCACGTGCTCTGCCAATTGCCGAACAATACTTATCGTCTAATTCTAAACGTGCATTGTCGGACTCATCGAGGTCCTCAATCTTTGTTTGAAGTACATCAAATCCAGACCATGCATGCTGTAAGAATTCGATCCGTGTTTCTAACACTTCTACCGGATCGGTCGATTCGCGAAAACGCTCAATGAATGTCTCAAAGTTTGTGAGACGCGTCTTGTATGTAGCGCGCGTACGCTTCAACGCGCCAATCTCGCTTTGTGTCATTGTTACTTACCAATGTTTGCAACTTACCGTTAATACGTGCTACTTAGCCTACCAAAAATTGCAATTATGCTGTGCTCAATTCGTTTGTGTTGATATGAAAAGTCGACTGGCTAACCTTTCCCCTGCAATGTTATAGTTACGTGCCGTTTGCAATACGGTGAATTATCGCAATAATCTGACTCGTCTGTATGTGCTATTTCGCTGGACAGTCCACCGTTGGATAGCTTCGACAACTATGGCTGCAACGCTTCCTTGTGTACACACTTGTATACCGATTATTCGTCCACACTCTGTGTGTGGGATCCGGCTCGAAGGACCAAAATTATGTTCACTCTTTGAGAGATGAAAATAACCAAAATGTTTGAATTTCTTCTAAAATGTCCTTTATTCGTTCTTACAAAATTTCCCGAGGATCGTTTACATAAACTTCTTCTTCCGAACCTCCATCTTACACTCCTCTCACGCCAGTCCCCCTAATCCTCGCGAGGACGACTTACCGATCGGACGCAATTTTCCGTCGATAAGTAACGCGCAGTTACCTACTACTCGCATTAACAACCGGAATAGGACAATAGGCACAACAAGCTGATTCTGTTACATGACAACGCTAGGCCACACGTTGCAAAATCGGTCAAGAAATACTTGGAAGGAGTAAAGTGGGAAATTCTGCCCCACCCGCCGTATTCACCGGACTTTGCTCTTCAGATTTCCATTTGTTCCAATCCATGCAGTCGGCCTTTGCTGGAGAACGATTCAATTCTTATGAAGGTATCAAAAAATGGCTTGATGAATGGATCGCTTCAAAAGAACCAGATTTTTTCGTTCGAGGAATTCGCTTATTACCAGAAAAGTGGAAGAAAATTGTCGCTTCCGAAGGAGCACACTTTGAATAACTCACTTATATACGGTTTGTTTAAATAAACACATATTTTTCATTTAAAAAGGACGGAAACTTATTCCCATACCCAATAGGGTAAACTCGGTATATACGCCGCGTCAAGAAATACGCCGCAGAAGTCAGAAAAAATAGAAGAAGTGGGGATAATTTTCCGTCAATTACTTTGTTACATGCCTTTATGGTATATTAATATTATGTTACGTTTTCAATTCTTTACTGTTAATATTAATGAAATTATTGCGAGTTAAATCGATTTTTTACTGTAATAAGTAGTGCCATCATAATTTATAATCTACATAAAATGATTATTATAGAGCGCGTGTAAAAGACTTAGAGGTTATTTTGCAATACATATGTGTAGAGGAATAGTAAAGCATGTTGTATAGCAAAATACAAGTGCTTTGCTCCTGTATTGTTTGTTTAAATAGTTGTCACATATATCCCATCTATTTGGGATATACGGCATTTTTAGCGAGCGGGATGCTGTGCCGCAGCACAGACGCTCTATTTAAGAAGTTTTTGTTAATTCTAACAATTATACATTGCATTAATGCATAAATGTTGATAAATCTTAAACGTTTAAAGATTAATTTCAAAGATTTGAAGTTATTTAAAAAAATTGTATTAAGTCCTATTTGTATTCCAATTTTCATTCTGAGCAATAAAAATTGTCATATATTAATAAACAATGCAAGTTACGTCGTCATTTTACATCTTATTTATAGATTATTTGTGATTTTCTTATGAATTATATACGAGTGGCTATATTATTCCCACCCCTCCCCCCCCCCTATGGGATAAATGGCAAAAATGCAGGGGTTTGAAAAAGTTACTTTTTAATATAGAAAATAAATTATTTTGGATTTCTAATATTTTTTTTATAGTAGTAGATGATACAAAGTTTTTATTGGACTTGGTTAGGTGGTATGACTGAGAGTGGGTGCGTGTGACGATAGCTGTTTTATTTTGTTGGCGATTTATGTAATAAGAGCGTTTTGAGCGAAGAGAAGGTGTGTATCCGATAGAGCGTAGCGTGTACCCATAGAGTACGTGGAGGAGAGGCTACTCGTAAGGTATAGGATTAGAAATCAGAAGAGTTTAGAGGTAGGTTACGGAAGGAGGTTAGGATGCCGAAAGACACGGCGGGTATAATGGAAAAGGCGGGAAAAGGTAAAGTGGATCCGAAGCAGAAGAAATTAGTTACGGAAATTAAGGAGGCAGGAAAAAATATATCTTTTCAAATAGGAACGAAGGGGGGAGAGGAGGTAGAGGTAGGGGATGAGGTAAAGAATAGGTTTGAACAATATCAATAGGATTTTAAGGCTATGATGGACAGTTTTAGAGTCAAAGAAAGGATATGGGAGGATAAAATTAGGAAAGTGGAGGAAGGGGCGGTAGAGAGAGAGAACTGGTTTAGGGAGAAACTAGAGGAAGTAGATCGTGATTTTAAGAAAAAGATAGAAATTATAGAAAATAGGTGCCTGGCAAAAATAGAGGAAATGGAAAAGAGACTAAGATCAGATAGCAATTTAGAGGGAGAGGGGGAGAGGGAAGTCGCGAGTGCATATAGTGAGGACAGAAGTATGAGATATAAGAGTGATTGTAGTAGGGGAAGATCAAGATCTATAGGAAGCATAGGGAGGCTTAGTGTTAAGGAAATGGATACAATTAAGAGGTTAGTATGGGAAAAAGATAGGGATGAAAGGAGACTTAATATAGTGATAAAAGGAATAACAGAGACAGAGGTAGGATTGATGAAAGAGGCGGAAAGAAATAATGGGCAAAGGATTTTTTTAAAAGAAAAAGTGGGAGTTGAGTGTGAGATTGAAAAATGTTGGAAAAGCGGACCGGTGATAATAGTTAGGTTAAGAAATGAAAGCGAGAAGAAAGAGGTAATGGTTAACAAGCACAAATTAACCCATTAAAAATAAAACAAATAAAGGACTCTTTCTTTAAAAACATTATAAACATGGAAATGGCATTGTAAGAGTCAAACGAAAAGTAAATTAACAAACAATTAATACATATATTCTAAAATGAACTTATAAAATTTACATAAATGTAACGATTAAAAAACAGATGTTAATTACATTACTAGTTTCGACCACCAAATCTGGTCCTCTTCAGATGAAACACTTTACGTTGAAATGTACATAATTATGGAAAAACATCAATACATAAGAAAATCTTGTGCGTAGTTAAATATATAACTGAAAAAACAATAGAATGAACATATATTAATTAAAAGATTATAATCTTAAATTCTAAGAATGAAAATTAACGATGCGCAAAACATACCAAAAAATTTTTACAAATCTATACGTGAGAATATTAGTTGGTCCGTGAATCCATATATTTACAAAAATAGTCATAATGATAAATGTCACACAATAAGAAAACAGTAAAAAAA